TGTTTCTGGATGAGTAAAGGGTCACTTCACCGGGCCACGGCGGCATCGAAATCTATCATTGTTAGCAACCGCCCCAGTACAATGGAGAATTCTTGGTTGCGGTATATGCAAGCCAATGGATTGTGGCATTTCAGCGGCTGATCTGCACTGTTCATCTGTTTGGAATTGCAACTGCCACACGAAATGGGTAGGCGGTCACCTCAGTGGAACCATATGAATTGTGGCAGGAACCATAAGGCGAATCAAAATGCGCTGGTCATTGACCCTGCTGCATATCGAACCCTTCACCTACGCAGAGTCGAACAGACATCTTGCATTTTTTCTACCTTAGACACAAATCTCCAGTTTATGTTCATCATGCCCTCAAACAACCTCTGGTACAACACAAAATTACACCAGTCATCACGGGAACGAGCGACAACGCCAAGACTGTGTATTGGAGAGTCGAGTCGACCGAGAGTCGAGTAGTCTCGAAGAACTTAGAGCACATACCTACTTTTCGAGAGAACTAACAGAAGTCAGGGAGGCTCAACGAGATCGAGTGACATTCGAATGCAAGGTAGACCTCCACCGTTGTTAACTGAGATTTAACCTGTGACCTCAATCTGAAGAACAGTGAGTTGAAGAGTTGGAGGTTAAAGCCGCTCGTAACAAGAGTCTTATTTTTCGCGTTGGAGGATGAAGTTCAGCTGTGGTATGACCAAGATTATGAAGGTCAGGGCATACAAAAATACCATTTTCGAATGCCCGCTGCGATGGCATCATAAATGGCATCCATAGCGCTAACCACGGCTATTTATTGGCTTACAAATCTGAGTATTCAACCATTAAGTTGGTAGTCATCGCCATCACCTCGTCTCAACCATTCGGCAGAGGAAATTGGTGATAGAACGGGAAGTGCTGATCCAATTAAGTTAGTACGGAAACACGTGTCTGCGAGGTCCAGCATTACAGAGCGGTATGGCATCCACAAATGCTTAAGGTTAAGGTCCCATGAGCTCTAGAAGCAAGGCAGAGGCACAATGTGAACGCATCGGTTATAAGGCAGGACTTTCATCGTGTCGGCGGTATGGAAAACTGTCATCTCTGAATTCAGTTCAAAATATCAAGAAAATTCGCGAAGTACAGAATACCTCGGTTTAAAGGAAGGCCAGTGTTGTAAAGGCAGTCAACCGTTCACGAAAACATTTTCCGTCTAAGCCAATAGGAACAGAGGAAAAAAAATGAAGGTCGG